AAGATCAGAATGGACTGTGGTTTGATGGTCATTGGCATATTTCTTTCATTTGTATTATTTTTACCTGCATGTTGGTTTCATTGTGGTGGAACACAGATCTGAAGTATGTTAATCTTTTATGGAGTATGTGTTGTATACTTAACTGTTATACAGCCATCACATTTGTCAATGGACTTGCATCTTAATATTGTTATCCAGGCTTTTTGTTACTATACAGAGAAAGGAAAGGCCAAAACCCTTGTAAATTTACAACAATTTGGAACAGACAATAAACTGTCTTTTGGAACTTGGATTCTTTTGTGGGTTTTCCTGTATTAAGCTGTCTCTAGAACACAGCTCATACAGAATTCAGCAATTCACATCTTTGCAAGACAGTCGGTTGTCTCAACACATCATTCATCTTTTGCAAATATTATGGTAGCTTTCCATAAACTTTTGCATCAGATTTAAAGTTTTACTGCTTAAATAAAAGGGTGTATCTATGACATTTTCTGAGCTTGTCTCCTTTGTTGCTGCCTGAGTTGTGAAGTGCTAGGCTGCATGTCGCAGTTATGACCTATCACTGGGTGCCATGGGGTATTCTAATTATACTCCTGGCTGTGGAGCCTAGTTTTCATCTGAGATCCTTGGTTTGTTGCAACATACCAACCTAAATTGTTGCAATAGAAGTTTATAGCTGCTTTTACCTGTCCCTGCATTATCAGTAATATAGGCCAGTTGTATTGCATTGCTGTGCTTTGGCATCCCTTTGGTGATGAAAGCTGTATAAAAGATTTTCTCTGTATGGTTGTATATCTGGTGTGCACCCATAACTAGGAGTGGGCAGATTGGTGTGTACTCATTATGCTTATCCATGTTGTCATGTCTCCATTTTCATTTTCTTTGTTTTAGTATGGAGCACAAGACTGCTTCCCGGTATGGGAAGTCTCTTGTTGCGGAATGGTGTAATTTGCAGCATGCTGTGGCTGGTTGACCTTTCTACACTCTGCATTTTTTCCAACCCCCCCCCCCCCC